TAATTCGGCTCCGAGATGACTTAGAGACTTGAAAAAAATACGACTGAGGTGAAAGTAGGAGTAGAGGTTGAATGTGAACGCTGGGCGTGGCACACCCGGATGTGGGCGGAGTTTGCGGCGTAAGTAAGATGTACCGAGCAGAAAGCTAAAATCAAGACAAAAATACTGATGGGCCCGATTTTACCGCTGCAGCCCCGTCTCATGCACGCGAATGCGTGCGCAGCCAAACTGGTATTATATTGTAGAATTGGAGTTTTTCTGAAGAATTTAGATTAGTGAGGAAGGGCAAGATGCAGCGCGTTGAGAATTTATTGATGAGTAGTGCATTTCTTTATCCTCTTTTTCACGACCGTATCTGTTTTCAAATAATGGTATTATTAGTAGTCGATATTCATGAAAATATTTCACATTACAATGCTCGATTTTGAAGGTTTGCATGTGGTGGAGATGTCACCATCACGGCACTTCCTCCCGCAGGTTGTGGCATCGCCAATTCTGACACCACTGAAGGAGGAGAGCGAACTTGAGGACATTGACGTAAGAATTACTTGTTAATCGCTTTTCTTGGTTTGTGCATGATGTCCTCAAATGTTCTACGTAGAATATCGGGTCGACGGACTACTTGAACTCAGCCCTTTAAACCGCCTCTGCGCTCTCTCGCGGGTCCCTCTCCTCTCCAAGGCTTAGTCCTAGGGCATTCACCCGTTCTCTAATCGTCTGTGCTCTAGCCATCGCGGCAGGACCATTGAGGAAAAATCAAGTAGTCCGTCAACCAGAATATCGGTGCTCGAGGGCGCACCCTACGAATAACTTGTGAAATGTTACTAATAAACTGGAAGCATGGGTCGTAGAATGCAATACGAAGAATCGTGACAAAATACCTTAAAATGACTTCATCAGATGCCAAGCACTCGTACTTTTACCCGTCTCATGGTCCGCTCGCCCACTGTTTCTGTATGACTCGTCTTTCACATCGGTCCCCACAATCCCTGTCTGTCGTACCGCCGCACCAGCGCCGTGTTGTTTACCTCGCTGACCACCTTTCATCCCCTCTGTAGAGTCTGTATTTTTGTTGTTTTCACGGTTTTTTCCATTTTCTTTACTGGCGGTCCGCTTCTACTCATACTTTCATAATCGAGCGGAGTTTTCACACAAACGATCCTGTGTCTGCCTTCCCAGTGAAATTGCTTTATAATCTAATTAGTGATCCCAGGATTTCGAACTCTTTTCTTTTAGCGATTGAATTTGGACGATTTTTACGGTGAAGGACGCTATCCACTGAGGAAGCCCAAGCCGCTTCCGTTTTACGTGAACACACCTGGTCATAAGGACGCGGAATGGCGAAAGCATCCCTTCCGGAATCACGAAGAGGTGAATGCAGCCTTTAATAGTTCCCTCTGTCCAAACAAAGTTACTGCCCTGGAATCGTGAAACATTGCTTATCTGTGGGAATTATAGTGTTATACTTTTTTTGTATGTATAGAATTATAGAATACCAGTTGGCGCCGCACGCATTGCGCGCGCAACACAGATCTGCGGCGAATTTTGATGGTGCGACGAAAATTTTCAAATTTGGCTTGATACACCACGAATATCTGAATTCTCAGCTAAATTCTATCCGCTCCATCATCGACGGCTTTCAACCTCTTTTTCTTCGTCAACCATTAAGGCCGATGTCATAGTTTGCGAATCGAGCGATTCGCTAGCGAATCGCTGGATCCGAGCGTTGCGCCAGCGAATCGAACGTTGCACCAGCGAATCGAACTTGCACCAGCGAATCGAACTTTGCGCCAGCGAGTCGAACGATGTACCAGCGAGTCGAACTAGGTACCAGCGACTCAATAGTGGCGGGACCCAACGTTTAAAGGAAGCCCGCCACTTTCAAACAGTGTCACGTGACAGTGGACGCTGTTTGAAAGTGGCGGGACTTGACAGTGGACACTGTTTGAAAGTGGCGGGCTTCCTTTAAACGTTGGGTCCCGCCACTATTGAGTCGCTGGTACCTAGTTCGACTCGCTGGTACATCGTTCGATTCGCTGGCGCAACGCTCGGATCCAGCGATTCGCTAGCGAATCGCTCGATTCGCAAACTATGACATCGGCCTTATCCTCCTTTTTTCCGGTCTCCGGACTGCTTCCGGACAATAAATCTCGTGGCAAACTCCGCCTACTTCGGTGCGTGCCCCGCCCACCAATAGCATTTGGCCCCCTTCCTTTCGCCGACCTCTACCCCTTTTTTCCGGTCTCTGGGACCTCTTGGAACCAAATTACGACACTTTTGGCAAACTCCGCCCACTTAGGTGCGTGCTCCGCCCACTAATAGCAGTTGACCTCTTTTCCCTCGCCAACCTCTAACCCCGTTTTCCCCTATCTCCAGGACTCTTGGACAGTTTCGAGGTTGTTTTGTCGCTGAAATCGAAATCTTGGTCTTCGGTACAGTTCATTTCGACGCACGCCACGCCCTCTGTGGGCGGGGCTCCGCTTAGCTGATGTGTGTTTTGTATTTCGTGAGACCTTGCCCACCCATCCCACACTTGACCCGGTCCCTCCAGGCGGATCCCGAGGAGCTAGGGAATTTCGTGACAGACATACAGAACGACAGACAGACGACAGACGAAGCGCTTTATAGTAAGTAGGATCAAAATTGCGGAATAGTCGAAGAGCATGGAGCTTCAAATTCCTTTTTTTACGCGGTTTTTGAGCTTAACTCCGTTGACTCCAGTTTAGAGTTTTTGAGCTGGTGATGTTTTATTCAGGTGATGATCCGCCTACTAGCCGATGGAGTTGTGCCACGATGGACACGTGACGCAAGGCGGAAGTGGGCAGAAGAGCGCCACGAGAAGGCTTTAACTGGTGTAGTGCAACTGCCGTCGGGTATTGGGCTGTCGGAGGTCATATCGAAAGCCGAGTAGACGAGTGTTGGGGCTATTTCAGTAAAGGGGGTGTGGCTGTGCGCAGTCTGCTCTAGTCGCCTATTCGGCTTGAGGAGTTCTCTAAAGTTACGAATTGCTATCCGCTTTATTCCTGTGTTGTTTTTTTCTGGTTTTTCATGTAATGTGTTGTGTTTTATGACCTAAATTTCTATGAGAACTGATATTCACCTAATGAACAGCAAGGGCTAAGCTTGTAGGAAGTGGGAGGAAGTCGCCGCAGGACACGAATATTGCTTACGAACCCGAGTGTTTTCCCTCCCTGCGAATGCTTAGTTCTAAACCATTACACTGGAACAAAATGCTATCTATGGTTTTAGCACGTCGAGCGCTCTGAAGCACATGTCCCTTCCCCTTACTGGAATAGTCCCGAGGTTTTCGTAGAAATATATCTTGTTCAGATTTCTTCTCCATCAAGAATTGAAACTTGTACATATTAAGCATTGTCTCTATGGCTGTTGTTGTTGGTTAGAGGCCATGTCGTAATGTCAGTTTGTCCATTTCTGTAGGTCTAGGTTGATAGAGTAGATTTTTTAGTGATCTTATTCAAAAACGGTTGCATTTCGTACAGTTGTTGGGAAGGTAGACTTGCTCACTACTAAAGTCATCTACTGATTGTGAGGTCAGAGATGAGAATAGAAGTATTGTCTGTTGTTGTTTGATTATAATACAGGCAGTCTTTTGCACTTCGTATTTCAGTAAAAAATTCATGTATATTGTTTCCAAACTATATAATATCGGACCATTCGATCCCTCATTTTACTTTATCGCTCACAAGAGTCATGTTGCATAACGAGGGTAATACTCAGTACCTGGTTGTAGTATGTGAATGAACTTCGGAAAACGATTAATTTATTAAAAAAAAGAGACGAATTTGTATTTCTTGCCATGCTAAAGGTTGGCCTTTGAAAGAAAGTTTCAGTCACTAGTAGTCAAAGATCTCACACTTGCGCGAAAAGTGCGAAGGCAATTATAAGAGAGTTAATATAGAAATTATTTGACACAATTTGGAGATAAAATATTATTTGGACTTTTCCAGATACTATCTCATCTCTTCGAAGAATGGCATTTTTTTAGCTTTTAAAGATGGCGGTGTACGGATGTGCACATCTCTGAAACTAGATTTTGCACTTTCCGTAATACAAGCACTGTAGGTAGCACCATTACATTTCCAGATCGGCAGTTGCGGACGCTTCCATGAGCTTGAGTTGTAATGGTTATTCTTACCGGTATCCCTCTAAATCCCTCTAGTTTTACCCAGGTGGTGAACAATTGTGAAAAGTTGAAGCTGAAGAAAGTCATAGTCATTTAAATCCGAAATCTCGTTGCGCACAAATAACGGTCCAACGCGGGGCGATTTTTTGAAAGAATGAATATTCACAGAGGTATGAGTACTTTTTTAGGAAGGAAACAATCTGGCGCTTCAAATTTTCTTAACCATTCCTCACACTTTCTTTTTTGACAAAAATCACAACCTTCTAAATGAATATGTGCTCATTACTTTGAATTCTTAATTCTATAACCCATGATCAACACTGTTTTGGAGGTGGTGCGGTGTCCTGATAGTTCCCGAAATTGGCAGCCTCGCTTCACAACTACCGAGCATTTCAAAAAATGGTGATGATCGGAATAGCACTTGGAAATTAGCAGTCCGTCTTCCCATCCGCGATATTCTGAGGGGAAAATTGTGCGCGCCAATGCGAACGCGAACGCTTTCGCGCCCAATTCAGTTTAGAGTTTGCTCGCCAGAAGTGTTCGAATTCAAGCTAAGTGCTTTGTGATTTTGTAGATCACTTATTTCCCGCAGGAAAGTAGTTGTTGGTTTGGTTCGTGATGATTAGTATGGCATAGGAAGGCAACGCGTCCTGCAAAAGAATCGTAGGGAAAGGGCAGCGAGTATCTACTCTAGAATGATGTACATGCTTCGAGAACTTAGTGGAGGAACAGCATCTTGGTAGAAAGTTCAAAACAGGCAGATTCGCAGCCTTCTTGGCATCATCAGATCCTGCAACCGCAAGCGTGTCATTCATCAGAACGGGTTGGAAAGGAAGCGATTTGAATAAAGGAATGATCAGACATCACTATGACCACAAGAGTTATCCTAATTAGTTAATACTGGAAATATCTTTTGGTGTGCTTAACACATTGACGACAACGCGAGTTTTGGCTTTTTTGGCCACGTGGGACCGCGGCGATTTTGCGGGCGCGCTCGCCTCAGGTCGTTCAAGCAGATTTTGAGTGATAAATACACAACTAATGATCAATTCAAAACCAAATCAGTAAATTGTAATGAGCACAACCTACCAGGGGTACAGTAGTGGAATTTCGATCGAAAGACATGGAATAACAATGAAAAAGCGAAATTTGTCAGAACTAGCTGCAATGGACCTCAAAAGCAATTTTACGTTGATTATTTCAATCAAAACACACATATTGTCATCCCTAAGGTTCCTTATCTACTTCTACTACTATTTAAATCTTCACATTAATAAAAAGAAAAAGTAAACGAAAAATTTATTGAAATGAAGATTTCGTATGGTTCAGAAATCCTCCTCTAAATTAAAGCATACGTGACCATTCTAAGGGCCACTATGTTTGTAGCTACGTCAAGGTCTCTTCCATGGAATGAATACAAGAAAACTTCTAAAAGAATCAGGCGTGCGCGAAAAAAATGAGTGTAATGGGTGCGGGGGATATATATCCCGCACGGTCCGACATGGCCTGCAATGCGCGGGATATATATCCCCCGCGTTGTCGTCAATGTGTTAAGCAAGTCGTCACTAGGACAAAACACCTTCCCAATGACTCCGAGTGGGGTCACTGCATGGCGCATACAAGAACGGAATGGATCTGCGCCAAGTGCATCATTTTCAATTTACTCCATCGAACTGACGTGTACAGAAGCATTTTGAAGGTGTTCAAAGAAGTTCCCTACTACGGCGAGGGAGTAATAGAGTTTTCGAGTGGCTTCGAAAATTTCCTTGACATTTCCTCGACGCAGATTTCTCGCGAACTAGAAAGCGTTCGAAACAACTGGAGCACCTTTAAAATCTTCTACTTTACAACGCTTTCCTCCGATTTTCAAAGCATTGCCAATGAAGACAGCTACTGTCTTCCAAAGAGTGGGAACTCGCATGTAAATTTCAATTTCCTCGACAATTCCTCGACGTCTCCCACTCTCGAGAATAGGCGTGCTTAGAAAAACGCTCAGCACAATTTAGAAACTAGAAGTCTTGTGCATTCAAAAGCTGCCTTCACTTTCTGAAATGGTTATCAATGAAGAAAGTTATAGTCCTTTAAATAGGGGGTACATTTGACGATTTTTCCAACTAGCGCGCTCTAAGGCACAGCGCGGATTGCGGACTTAGCATTTGGATCAAGCTGCACTTAGCAGCGGCGGCGCTGCGCACGAAAATGCTCTCCCAGGAGATCACGGCCAGCAAAACCTAAAAAAAATCCGCGTTTTAGAAAGTGGCTCGAAGAATGCTCCTCCAAAGTTGAATTTTCGGGAACGTTCGTGAAGTTCATAGGAAGTACGAATCCTATAGTTTATCATACCAGGTTCAGCTTCCCAAATCAATGAATTCGAAGGAAGGGTGAAAATGTAGTTTGGGGGGGGCACTCATAATATCTAATCGAACTGGCAATATCTAATCGAAGTGGAGCTGCGGAAGGGCGGTCATATCTAATCACCATCCAGAGCACAGTCTCTGAGTGTATGATTAGATAGGGATACCAACCGTGCCATACAAAATCGGATACCTGGGAAGGCCCTTTCTTCGAGGGCTTGCATGGCAGTCGCAAGAAGGTTTGATGAAAGTAAGGAGCCAGCAGGGTAGCAGCCATTTTAGCCCTAGACCAATATGACAGGGGTAAGCGTACTAGTCCAGTGGCCACGGTCTTAGAGAAGATATGATAAGATATAAGTGCCTTCCCGCAACTCTACTTTGATTAGATATGAGTGTCTTTCCGCAGCTTCACTTCGATTAGATGGAGGGTCCCCCCCCGAAGTACAATTTCACCTGAAGGAAGTTGTGATCGCTTAAAAGGGAAAAGTCGCGGTTCGAGAAATAGTCCGCGAACCCCCCCCCCCAAAAAAAAAAGTAGCAACGGGACTTTTTGAATTGCTGACTTTTCAAGAACGTTCGGGTACTTTTTAGAAAGCTTGAATCCTGTAGTTTGTCATACCGTGTTCAGCTTCCCAAATGAATGACTTTGAACAAAGTTATGATCGTTTAAAGGTTGAAAAGTCGCATTTGCACAGAAAAAAGTTCCAACGTGCTAAATTTTTATTGAATTAGCTTTCGAAGAATTTTTAGCCATGATTGGAGAGAGGATTGTTAAATTTTTCACAGGAAGGTGAAAATTGTAGTGCAATATTATTTTTTTTCTTGATAACTTGTTCATTCAAATTGTTTGAGAACAGATGAGCTTTCTTTAGAAAGGCTAAGCCTCGGTGATTCAAAAGCCACCACTATATTCCAATGTATACTCGATATCCGAAGTTGGGGTAGGTGTGTCACCGGAAGTGACGTGCACTTGATAGAAGTTGCGTGGATAAGCTGTTTCCAGCATACATCGCTGGATATCAGCAAAGCATGCTGGCAACAGCTTATCCACGCAACTTCTATCAAGTGCACGTCACTTCCGGTGACACACCTACCCCAACTTTCGGATATCGACTGTACCGGAAATTTAACAAAAAAAATCGTCCTCGTTCGTATCCTGTTCCCGGTCGGCAAACGCGCTCCATCGTCAGGGCGGTTCAGCACATTCAAAACGCGATCAATACGCGTTTCATTCCTTTGCTACTTCTACTTTTCATAATATTGCACCTATTATTGCACCTATCGGGTTTATAGTCCACGCACCCAGGGGATTCCCTATCCTTGCAAAAATTGGAGTACCTGTAGCCGGCAAAAACTGTTGCGCCATATACTTTCCCTTAGCGGATGAGACCCTTTTTTATAGAGAGATTCTTT